GATTATGTTGAGGAGACTTGCAAAAATTTAATTTGGCAAGATATTTTGGTGAGTTTTGTTAACTCGTTAAATTATGTTAAGTTAAGTTAGATCCTAAACTTTGTTATCCTAATTTATTTTGTTGTTTTTGCATAATCACTTTGATATTGTTAACTCGAACAACTTAGGAGAAAAGTCATGTCATCTATTGCCAAAATGTGGAGGCAATTCAAGTCGACATTGACTTCAAAATGGATTTTTAATGACCAAGCCATTAGCAAAGGATTAACTCCTTGTCAGCGTTATGGCATAGATGAGGAAACTTGGAAGCAGTTTGTCGGAGTAGGACCGGTCCACAATGGGAGGTATGTTACTATTTAAAAAACTTTGGTATGTTTCCATATTGTCTTATTAATTTAGCACATTGTAATATGATATTATGTTGCAGGAGAAGCGAATAAAAGGAAAGGAGATTCGGAGGTTGAATGTGGCCCCCCACTATCCGTCTCGTGGGGGTATGATTTGTTGACGCAACGCATGATGAAGGAGAAGGCTAAACTCCGAGAAGCCGAGTTAGCCTCTTCCGGTGTAAGCCAGGAAGAAATTTCCCCACCATCTCCTCCAAAACGTCATCAAAAATGGAAGAGGGCTCTGCAAAAGGCCTCCGGTGAAATGACATCAGAGGAGGCCCGCTTGATTGCTGAGCGGATTGTAAGTCAAATTAGTTTCTTTCAACCTCATTAACCATGCTTTGTCATTCATCAATTTTTTTTACAATATATAATGCTCAATTGTAGGATTCTTTAGAGGAGCAAGATACACAGGGAACATTCGTTCCCCGTGGTCGTGAAGATATATTAACTATCGCTATTGGACGCCCGTAACACCCGTGGCGTGTTCGTGCCGTTGGAGCCGGTGTGGGTATTCGAGCATATTTTGGAGCTCCATCATCGGACCATACCCACACCACATCATTGAGCCGACAGGAGATGGCCGGATTGGAGGAGAGTCTAACAGCTGAAGCCGAGACCAGCGATGGTTGAAGAGCCGACGACGACGCCGACACCGCCCATTACCACACGAGTTCGGGAGGAGATGATGCGTGTATTTGGTTCAAGTCTAGCATCCATAGGTGTCACACGACCTACCCACCCACCTATGGATGTTCCTCCTCCATCTCGCCGCACGAGTTAGCACTAAGGGTAGTCAGTGCTTGAGCCAAATACTCGCTGATCAAGAGCTTCCTGCTACTAATCGAGAGGTTGTTGTTGTTGTTGCAGTACATCGACCACTCGTGTATGTGTGGATGATATCTTAATGACAAAAATTCATGTGCATATTAAATAATTAATGTCTTATTTTTGTGTAATCGAGTCGATGTGAATTTTATGTTGATGAGGATGGATCCGAACCACGATTGGTGGCGGTTGGTTCAATTGAAGAGGGGGCCTCTACAATTCATAGTGTGCCTTTAGCACCTAACTTGGCCAAAGTGGTCATTGAAGAGGTTCGAGATGCTTATGCTCTTGTACCTGTGCCTACGTACGAGGTGATGACAAGTGGGACAGACCCTCCGGACCTTCATTGCATGGCCTAGACATCTAATCGGGCCTATTTTGAAAAAGGTTTGCATATACTTTCTGTTAATTATCATATGTAGTCTCGGTACTATTTTTTATTATTTCTCAAGTCAATGTTATTTTATGTAGGATGTTCAGAAGCCACCCCAGTTGCCTAAACCGGTTCCTACTTCCCATACTAGTAAAGGTAAGGAAGTAGATGTCCCGAGAAAATCCAAATTTTCAACTACTATCTGTTGTCCCACGGTTGTATATTCAATCTTTTCAAGTGAAGTGGGATGTTGATAAGTTAGGGGTAGACAATAAGAACTTTCCCCTTTACATTGACCACACCGATGCTCGTGGAGATAGCAGTTGGCAATCGTTGTCTAAACATAGCAGTGTTACAATTTTGGACAATGTAAGTATTTATTTTTATTTACTAATTATGTTATTTGAAGTTATCGTCATATTTAATGTACATTGAACTGACTACTTTAGGATGATGAATGAATTGTCGGAGGAACAACGCACCCAAGATGTGTATGGATTTTTTGAGCCCCAATCCATACAAAAATCAAGAAACAAGAGAGAAGAAGTTCAAATATACATCCAAAATTGGATGATGAAGTCGAGGAAGAAAGTTTACTTGGGTGCTTACCACCATCAGTAAGTATTTAAGCGTATGAAATTATTCGCATTAAATTTTATAGTGTATTGTATTATCCTAACTTTTTGTAATGTAAGCGTAAATCATTGGCGGTTGTTGGTTGTTTGCCCAAAGCGAGAATGTCGTGGCTTGGTTCTCGCTCACTGGGCAAGAAACCCGATGCAGATCTTAAAAACATTGTAAACAAGTACACATTCTTATAATAATTTAAACAATTATTAATTGTTTTGTTACTTAATTGTTTCATTATATCTTGTATTGCACGAGTGCATTTAAGGTTTGCAATACAATTGATGGAGTACACACAAGCAAAAGCACGACTCAGATTGGATTTTTGTTAATGTAAGTCATTTTATATTTATGTATTATATCATTCATTTTATATGTTAAATTAATATATTATTTTTTGTAGTGTAATAGGCAACCAGGATCTTATGAGTGCGGATATTATGTTATGCACTCGGATGTGGCTGATTGTTGTTAGCAAGATTGAGGATACATGGAATCAGGTTTGCTTAAATTTAGTATTCAATAAAAGACCCAGATATTGTGTCATTGGATACTCGTTAAATTATCTTTTTTCTTGTAACAGTGTATTTTCAGACAGGGAAGCATTGCCCATAGAGACCATTGACGATATTAGAAACACATGGGCCGATAAGTTTGTTAAAGTTAGAAGTATGCAAGTTTAGTTATTAATTTAGTACTTAGTTTAGTAGTTAGTTTAATAGTTAGTTTAGTAGTTAGTTTAGTAGTTACTTTAGTTACTTTACTAGTTAGTTTATTAGTTAGATTAGTAGTTAGTGTATTTGGTAGATAAGTAGTTGGATACACTATAATTTTGGATACAATTTTATTTTTGGATGCACATTCAATTGTTTATATCTTGTACATTGTCTCGCTGGGTTGTATTCAAATTTGCGGTATGTATATATACAAACATTGGGTACCCTGTATAAACAAAGCGTCCATTTAAAAAAAAAAGACTTTCTACGCTCGGTTCATACCATAACCGACGTAGTAAACACGTACTCGCTTGAGCGACGATTGTACTCACTTGAGCGACGAAAGCTTCAAACAAAGGGGACTCTCGGGTTCCATCTCGCTTGAGCGACGATTGTACTCGCTTAAGCGACGAAAGCTTCAAACAAAGGGGACTCTCGGGTTCCATCTCGCTTGAGCGACGAGTGTACTCGCTAAGCGACGAAAGCTTCAAACAATGGGGACTCTCGGGTTCCATCTCGCTTGAGCGACGAGTGTACTCGCTTAGCGACGAAAGCTTCAAACAAAGGGGACTCTCGAGTTCCATTTCGCTCGAGCGACGAGTGTACTCGCTCGAGCGACGAGTATACACTTTCAACGTCGGGTATGAATAGCCGACGTTGAAACCTAAACTTTCAACGTCGGTTATCTATACCGACGTTGAAAGTGTATACTTTCAACGTCGCTTAATACTAACGTCGGTTGTATAACCGACGTTGAAAGCCTTATATAAACGACGTTGAAAGGCATATCTGTAGCAGTGATTATCGTATCCTAATATTTTTGTATTATATTCAACATCAAAGACACTTTATTTTCAGCTATAAAAATAAATTCATAAATTACATATAACACATATACAATTATATATTAAATTAGAATATAAAGATAAATTAATATAATTATTTTATCAAGTTAGTTTTTCATATATCTTAAAATAAGTTTAATATGATAAATTAATACTTAAAAAATATATTAAGTTATATAAAAAATTTATGATTTAAATTACGTAAAATTTATTTAAATTAGACTAGTTAATAAATAATCATTTTATAAAATAATAATTATATTTTAAATAAAAATAATATTATTTAATTATAAAAAATATATATGATAAATTAATTTGATTAAATATTAAAATATAAAAAAAATATTTATTAAATTGAAATAATAAAGAAAAATTATTTACAAAAAATAACAAGAAATTTGTAGGTCTAAATAACATTAATTTTTTAATTTATCTTAACCTCGTCACGCTACAGGTGTCGCGAGGATTCTTACATCGTGTAGCTGTGATTCCATGTGTACGCTGGATTCGCTCGGTGCAGTTCAGCACTCCTGGTTATACAACTTAAAAAAATTAAGCCTCTACTAAAATAGAGAGTAGAGAGAGAAACAGACACAAAACATTTTATCGTACCTACAAAGGTATTATTTTGTTCGATGAGATTCTCCCCTTTTTTCTTTTCTTAATTTCCTATGTGGGATTGTTAAATTCTTGCTTGGGTGTAATTAGTTTGTGAAATTGCTTTGTTGCCTTGAATTTCTTTTGGGGTTGATGTTGGTGGTTGTTCTATGCAAGTTGTAGCTGATTCTGAACTTGTTTGAGCCTTGGTTTTCCTTATGCTATAGTCATTGATTTTCTTTGCTTCTTATTTTTCTTCCTTTTTCTGGGTTTTGATATCTCTCTCTCTCTCTCTCTCTCTCTCTCTCTCTCTCTCTATATATATATATAGATAGATATATAGATATATAGATATATGTGTGTGTGTGTATTTTTTCTTTTTTATTGTTTTTGGTCGAAATATTTTTGTTTTGCTTTAAAAAATCAAGGCTTTTTGGTGTGCAATGGCCCGATTCAGTGTTGTTTATCGCTTTCTTTTTTAAGTCGAAGATGGTTCCATATATAGCATTTTCCTTTGTCCTGAATTTCTTCATTCATAAAAAGAATAAAGAAACTGTGTCCATACTTTCTTTCACCTTTTTCAGGTAATCAGGATTGTGTTCGGCTTGAAAAGGACCATTAAAAGATGGTTGATCCAAAGGGTAGTTCGACGTGGTTAAAATGTATAAATGTCAGTGACATATGGCAGGATCATGGGGTATATGGAGCCCTGGCAGCTATAGCCATAAGCATCCTTGTTCCTGTTTTGTTTTCAGCTTTGTTCTTTGGAAATAAAAAAAGAAAAATAAGAGGTGTGCCTGTAGACGTTAGTGGTGAGGCAGGTTATGCAATACGTAATGCTAGAAAGACTGAGTTGGTTGAAGTTCCTTGGCAAGGAGCTCCAACCATGGCTCATCTGTTTGAGCAATCATGTGATAAATATACCCGGAATCGATTTCTTGGAACCAGAAAACTAATACAAAGAGAGTTTGTTACATCTAGTGATGGCAGGAAGTTTGAGAAACTTCATTTAGGAGACTATGAATGGGAAACCTATGGAGAAGTATTTACTCGTGTGTCCAATTTTGCATCTGGTCTTCTTAAGTTAGGTCATTCTATAGATAGCCGTGTTGCCATTTTCTCTGATACAAGGTCTGAGTGGCTCATTGCTCTTCAGGTAAATTTGCTTCACCAGTCATTCCATTTTCTTTTGGTTTAACTGTTCTGCCTTCACACATTGTAATGAAGATCTTGCAAAACTTCAGGGTTGCTTCAGGCAGAATGTAACAGTTGTTACTATTTATGCTTCTCTAGGAGAGGATGCCCTGATCCATTCACTAAATGAGGTAGGAAATTATCATCTCAAGCAAAATTTAGTTGATAGTTGATGATTGAATTAACTAAAAGTGATGGGCATGTCTCACTTGAAGCTTTGGAATGTGAACAGACTGAAGTGTCTACTCTGATCTGTGACTCCAAGCAGTTGAGGAAGTTGGATGCAATAAGATCAAGAATAACATCTTTACAAAATGTTATTTACTTTGAAGATGATGATAAAGAAGATGCTTTCTCAGGAAGTTCAAGTGGTTGGACAATTGCATCTTTTAGTGAAGTTGAGAAACTTGGGAAAGAAAGTCCGGTTGAGCCAACCCTACCTTCCAAGAATGGTATTGCAGTTATCATGTACACAAGTGGCAGTACAGGTCTGCCAAAGGTTTGTTTCTTGTTCAACTTTTGTTGTAGGTTTCGTCTCTTTCTGTGTTTGATACTTGTGATTTGCTGCATACTTGCAAAATGTTTTCTCCAGACTCCAGAATCATGGTGATTAAATGTCTCAGCAGCCTGATGCCTGTTGAATAATGTAATTCATAAGCATGACTGCTTGATTCTGACTTGGGTCTTGGCATGACATTGTTGTCAACATGTTTTTGGGTGGTAAATTATAATATTAAGTCATTCTACAATCATGATTAAAATTCCAACATTGAGAGTTAAGAGTATCCCCAACAGCTCGGTGTGTTTACCTTTGATTTGATGGAGTGTTAACAATTTTGTAATCACTCAGGGTGTTATGATTACTCATGGGAACATTGTAGCTACTACAGCAGCTGTTATGCCAGTGATTCCAAATCTTGGTAGCAAGGATGTGTACCTGGCATACCTGCCACTTGCCCATGTTTTTGAAATGGCAGCAGAGGTAATTTCTTCTTAGTCTTCTTCTAACTGTAAAAGTAGTTGATGATATTATCTTCAAGACTCTAACATACTGTGGTTGTCCAGTCAGTAATGCTGGCTGCAGGTTGTGCAATTGGTTACGGCTCTCCTCTGACTATGACTGACACTTCTAATAAAATCAAGAAAGGAACTAAGGGAGATGCCACTGTATTGAAGCCCACACTATTGACAGCAGTACCAGCTATTCTTGATCGTATTCGAGATGGAGTTGTAAAAAAGGTGTGAATCAGACCAATGCTCTACACGGGCACTCTTTCTCACACATATTGTTAATTACTCTCCTTCCTTTCTATTTTGTATCCAACCATTTGAATTGTCGGTATAGCTACACCAAATGAGTGTGCTCTTCCTTTTTTCTCAACTTAAAAGTCTAATAAAGGATAGGAATGAAATTTCACTTACAACACCTAGGAGCTAGTGGCTAAATTGACGAATTTGTTAGGCTTGTATCTGGAATTTAATTGTATATTTTTTATATAAATATTAGAGATTTCATAATAGATGTTTGTGGGGGGAGTAACAACAACGTAGTATTTTTTCATTAAGGCTCGCTAAATGATCAAATAATTCTATTGATCGGTTAAAACTATTTTTTCCATAAATCTATTTTCAAAATGATTTTCTATTTTTTTTTTTATCTTTGTTAAGGTTCCAACATAAAACCAATTGGCAATATGTGGAGTAGTCTAACATGTATTTAAACCATACCAAATGACATGAGGTAGGCGATGTGAGACTTTCAACACACCCCCTCCAACAAAGCCTGCCGGACCAGGCAAAGGGTACTTTTGACCCAACTAAAGGACAACTTTTGGCCCATAACAATAACCGGAAAGATGTTAGGCTTTGGCTCTGATACCATGTTAAGGTTCCAACATAAAACCAATTGGCAATATGTGGAGTAGCCTAACATGTATTTAAACCATACCAAATGACATGAGGTAGGCGATGTGAGACTTTCAACAATCTTCATCTCGCCTTTTTATTCAATGGAGCTAGGACAAAAAAAGTAGCTCCTTGAAAGAATAAAGGAAGACATAGTAGTTATTTTAGTCCATTAGAACAATTAGTTAGTTAGACTATAGGCATGGTTATCAAACTTGTGAATTAATTTGCTAACTTGGACGAGTTTGCGAGTCATACAGTGGGCCATGGGTCAAATCATGTATCAACTCGTTTTTGGTGTAAGCTTGTGCTAACTCAGGTAAACTTGATCAGACTCGCAAGTTCACCATTGACTCAGCGAGTTAGATCGCATCTTCTTAATGATGTTAAAACGCACATCTTCCTCCCCCATTTCATTTTTACTATGTATCTTCTTTCTCTAGTCCCATATCTCTCTGCACGTGTCTTCTATCCCAGCTGTGTGTCTCCCTTTGCTGCAGCTCTGCTTCTCCCTCTGCATCTTTATGTCTCTCTGTTCTCTGCATCAGAGTGTTTTGGGCTCTGCTTCTGTGTACCTACCTGATTTTCTCCTCCATGTTGCATGATGTCTAGGATATGCATCTCCCTTCATTCATCCTCAACATCTTGTATCTATTTTGATTTTTTTTTATTTGGTTTGTAATGTGACTCTATTGAAATTCTGTTCTCTTTTAATTTTGGGGATTGAAATTGAAGTGTTAAAATACATTTTCGCCTCCCTTTTTATTTTTCAATGTTTAGCTCTTTGCCAATGTTGGGTTATTAAGATTAAGATAGTATGTGTAACAAATGTGACTATCATTTTTTTTGTTTAGATTTATTTTTTTCTTAATTCTTTTTCATGTTTAATTGCTTCCTAAAATTATAAAGTATTTGGAATTGGGCTTGGTTCAAATTCTATTGATGCCAATGTAGCTACATGGTAACTTCCAAAGAGTAAAAATACTTATTAGTGTCATGGAATTATTGATTACTACTTTACTTAATTATGATATTTAAATATTGAATTGTGTTGAATATAGGAAAAAACTGTATAGGGTTAATTTTCCTTATGTATTTACCACACATAGGGCAGTGTATTTATAATAAAGAAAGGTACTCCTCAAAAGAGTAACGAGAATACAAATAAGGTAAATAAAAAGATATTATTTGATATTGTGAGAAATCAAATAGTATTTTAGGAAAGAATAAATAAGGAAATTTGTATATTTCCTTGTAATCTGAACAAATTTGAATAATTAGGAACAATCCCATAAATCAAGGGATCCTAGCATAAAATAGAGTTATTATATTTCCTAAAATAGTTTAGGTCTCTTGTATATATCTTGTATCATCTCTTTGTATTAAAATAAAATATATCATATTTCGGTTAATCTATTTTTCCAGATGGTATCGAGCTTCAGATCTAGGAAGCTCTGTCTGCGCTCGATAAACCCTAAGACGGCGACTGCATTGCTCGCGCATATTTTGTAACCCTAAGACGGTAGCCTGCATTGCTGCTGCATTTTTCTTAATCCTAAGACGACAGCCTACATTGCTGCTGCATTTTTCTTAATCCTAAGACGACAGTCTGCATTGCTGCTGCATTTTTCATAATCCTAAGACGACAGCCTGCATTGATGCTGCATTTTTCATAATCCTAAGACGACAGCCTGCATTATTGTTGCATCGCACCTTTTGCTATAATGTCAAGGGAAGAGGAGATAGAAAGGGTGAAAACCATTCTTAGTAAGCTGGAAAAACCTACGGGTATGTGTTCTTTGGCATACTCGGGTAAGTTTCCACCTTCTTTTGGATTAAATGTCTCGGATACGCCTTTTAACCATTATTGGATATTGGACTCGGAGCCACAGATCACATGACACCATTAGCCAAACACTTCTCCACATATTCCCCATGTCCCAGCAACAAGAAAATTGCCACGACGAGATGGAACCCTTATAACTGCAGCTGGTCAAGGAAATATCCAAATCAATCCTTTAATAACCTTAAAAGACGTTCTCCATGTCCCAAAGTTGTCCACGAACCTAGTGTCTATACAAAAACTTATAAAGGATTTGTCATGTAAAGTTGTTTTTTCTAATGATCATTGTGTATTTCAGGATAAGGATTCGGGGAGGATGATTGGACATGCTAGAGAATGGAATGGCCTTTATTATCTCGAAGATCCAAGTCTGCCCGAGCAAGAATAGAATCCCTCACTCCTTCATATCCGAATCCTTGATGACCAACAGAGAAAAAATCATGCTTTATCATTGTCGGTTGGGACATCCCTCTTTTGGAGTGATCAAAATTATATTTCCCTCTCTGTTTACCAAGTTAGATGTTGAGAGTCTTCATTGTGAGGTGTGTGAACTTGCTAAGCACAAACGTATATCTTTTCCAATAAGTAATAGAATTAGCAATTTCCCTTTTTATCTTGTTCATACCGATGTATGGGGACCTTCTAATATTCCAAATGTGTCCGGTACTCGATGGTTTGTCACCTTTATAGATGACTCGTACAAGGGTCACTTGGGTTTTCCTACTTAAACAAAAATCGAAGTCGGTTCTGTCTTCCTAAACTTCCACTCCATGATAAAAAATCGGTTTGGTGTTAATATTAAGAGGCTTAGGTCGGATAATGCCAAAGATTACTTCAATCATGTCCTTAATTCTTTTTGTCAAAAAGAAGGTATAATTCATGAGTCCTCTTGTGTCAAAACACCACAACGGAATGGGGTCGCAGAGAGGAAAAATGGACATCTATTAAATCGGACTCGGGCATTGTTGTTCCAAAAAAGTGTCCCAAAAAATTTCGGGGGAAGTCTGTCCTTACGAGCAACATACCTTATCAATAGACTACCCTCTAGAGTCTTAGGATCAAAAAGCCCTATGGAAGTTTTGTCGTCTTTCTATCCAAACTTGTCTACTACAAATAATCTTAAACCAAGAATTTTTGGGTGCATCTCATATGTCCATATTCATAGTACGGACGGGGAAAACTTGATCCTAGAGCCTTAAAGTGTGTCTTTGTTGGTTACTCACCCACTCAAAAAGGGTATAAATGCTACCACCCCCATCCAAAAAATTCTTTGTGTCTAGGGATGTTACCTTCAATGAACAAGAGGGCTATTTCCATCAACCTTATCTTCAAGGGGAGAGTTTCGGGAAGATAAGGAAAGTAGTGATTCTGGTTTTCCCATTCTTCCAAACTTGACATTTGAACCTAAACAAGATCAAATTGAAGATCAAATTGAAGTTGTAACAAATGAAACAAGTCAAGGAATTGGTCAAGCAAAGGAAGTTGGTCAAGAAAGTGAAATTAATTGTGAAGGCTGATCAAGAAGATGTTGAAAGCTGGAAAATTTGATAAGAAGTCTGGTGTACTCAAGGAAGACTAAGGCCATTCCAGGATCAAGCCATGTTCAAGAATCCAACTCGACTCCACAAAAAGAGGTAACAATTTTTTCTCCAGTCGTGCGAGGTTGAAATTGAAACCCAAAATGATCTTGACCTCCCAATTGCCATTAGAAAAGGAACAAGAAAATGCACCAAACGGCCACTCTACCCTCTCTCAAATTACCTGTCCTTTAAAAATTTCTCTCCTACCCATAAAACCTTCCTAGTAAACCTAAACACTTGTACTTCTACCTAATACCCTATCTGAGGCATTGTCTGACAGAAAATGGAGGCAAGCCATGGATGAAGAGATGGAGGCATTGGAGAAAAACAACACTTGGGAGTTAGCCACCTTACCAATAGGAAAGAGGCCAGTTGGATGTAAATGGGTCTATACAGTGAAATACAAGGCTGATGGATCAATTCGGAGATATAAGGCAAGACTAGTTGCCAAAGGGTTTACCCAAACCTATGGAGTTGATTATTTGGAGACCTTTGCTCCGGTTGCCAAAATGAACACGAGTTAGGGTGATATTGTCCCTTGCTGCCAATTATGGTTGGAACTTGGAACAATTTGATGTTAAGAATGCTTTCCTACATGGAGACCTTGAAGAAGAAATCTATATGGAGATACCTCCGGGATATGGTAAAGATGTTGCTACCAACACTGTTTGCAAGTTGAAAAAGGCATTATATGGGTTAAAACAGTCCCCCCGTGCATGGTTTGGCAGGTTTACTAAAGTTATGACAGGTTTGGGTTACAAACAAAGCCAAGGGGACCATACTTTGTTTTTTAAACATTCCAAGTCGGGGGAGTAACAATATTATTGGTGTATGTGGATGACATAATATTAACTCGGAGATAATAAAGAAGAGCAACAATTATTGAGTCAATGCTTAGGCAAGGAATTTGAGATCAAGACTTTGGGAAAACTAAAATATTTTTTGGGAATTGAAGTTGCCCACTCCGAGAAAGGGATATTTATATCTCAGCAGAAATACATCACCGATTTGCTCAAGGAAGCTGGCAAGGCAGCTTGCAAACCTGCTAGTACCCCATTAGAACCAAACCTAAAGCTTGGAAATGCGAGAAGATGTTGCTCGTTGAAAAAGATATGTACCAAAGATTAGTGGGCGAGACTTATATATTTGTCACATACCAGGCCGGATATTGCCTATGCAGTGAGTTTAATTAGCCAATTTATGCATAGCCCAAAGGAGACCCATTTACAAGTCGCCCACGAATTTTACAGTACCTTAAAGGAACTCCAGGAAAAGGGATTCTATTCAAAAGGAATGGTAATGTGAAACTTGAAGCCTATACTCGATGCCGATTATGCAGGGTCAATTGTGGATAGGAGGTCAACTACAGGATATTGCACCTTTCTTGGAGGAAATCTTGTGACTTGGAGAAGCAAAAGCGAGGTGTAGTGGCTCGGTCCAGGTCTTGAGCGAATTCGAGCCATGGCACAAGATATATGTGAGTTGCTATGGCTTAAAATCATCTTAGAAGACTTGAGGATAAAGTGGGAAGAACCTATGAAGCTCTATTGTGATAATAAGTCAGCAATCGAGTATAGCCCACAACCCAAGTGCAAGCATGATAGAACAAAGCATATTGAAGTAGACAGACACTTCATCAAAGAAAAGCTTGATAGTGGCTTGATATGCACTCCATATGTGTCCTCTCAAGACCAAATTGCGGACATTCTTACCAAGGGACTGGGTTGCCATAATTTTGAGAAGATTGTATCCAAGTCGGGAATGGAAAACATCTATTCACCAGCTTGAGGGGGAGTGTGAGAAATCAAATAGTATTTTCGGAAAGAATAAATAAGGAAATTTGTATATTTCCTTGTAATCCGAACGATTTGAATAATTAGGAACAATCCCATAAATCAAGGGATCCTAGCATAAAATAGAGTTATTATATTTCCTAAAATAGTTTAGGTCTCTTATATATATCTTATATCATCTCTTTGTATTAAAATAAAATATATCATATTTCAGTTAATCTATTTTTCCAGAGATATTGTGATTAACAATATCTAACAATATCTCAACAATATCAAACAATATCAACTAATATCTAATCATATCTAACACTCCCCCTCAAGCTCGGAGCATACAAATCGTATGTGCCTAGCTTGGTACAAAGATAATCCATCCTAGGTCCCCGTAAAGA